GGACGCGTCCCGGGTGGCTCTCAGAGGAGGCAGCAGGCTCGGAAGAGCAGCATCCCGTCGGGCGAGGAGAGGTGGAGGGAGATGCTCTCGTTGGCCGAGATGAAGAGGACGGAGCCGCGGCGCAGAGTCATTTCGGAGGCCGCCGCCGTGGAGGTGCCCACGGCCGTCCCTTGGATCACCAGCAAGATGCTGGCCGAGTCCACGGCCGAGACGAGGTACAGCTTGATGGAGGAAGGGATCTGCAACGGAAAGGGTCACCACGGCCTGAGTCTCCCCCAGGGTCTTCTTCTCCCTGAGAAGGGGGTCTCCCCCATTCCCACCCTGCTCCCTGTCCACGGGACACCCCTGTCCCAGGGACCTCGGTTTAGTTGAGGACACCCAAGGCTTCCTCCTGGTCCTCTCTCTGCCTGGAGGTGCTGGAGAAGGTGAGTGAGCTTCAGGCAGGGGGAATGGAGGAGGGAGAGGAGCCTGCAGTGTGGTCCAGGGGTGCCACAAGCACCCCCAAAGCATCCCCTGCATCCCTAGACACCCCCCAAGCATCCCCCGCATCCCTAAACACTCCCAAGCACCCCCAGCTTTCCAAAGTATCGCCAGCATCTCCAAGCACCCCCTGGCATACCCCCGAGCACCCCCAGCTTCCTCAAACATTCCCAGCATCTCCAAGCACCACCTGGAATCCTCAAAAATCCCAAGCATCCCCAGCACCCCCAAAAATCCCAAGCTTCCCCAGCTTCCCCAGCATCTCCAGCTGCCCCCCAGTATCCCCAAACACCCCCCTCATCCCCAAAAATCCCAAGCACCCCCAGCTTCCCAAAGCATCGCCAGCATCTCCAAGCACCCCCTGGCATCCCCAAAAATCCCAAGCATCCCCAGCATCCCCATAAATCCCAAGCACCCTCAGCTTCCCCAAGCATTCTCAGCAGCTCCAGCTGCCCCCCAGTACCCCTAAACGTCCCCCTCATCCCCAAAAATCCCAAGCATCCCCAGCATCTCCAGACATCCCCCAGCACCCTCAAAAATCCCAAGCTTCCCCAAGCATCCCCAGCATCTCCAGCTGCCCCCCAGTACCCCTAAACGTCCCCCTCATCCCCAAAAACCCCAAGTACCCCCAGCTTCCCCAAGCATCCCCCAATATCCCCAAGCACCCCCAGCATCTCCAAGCATCCCTGGCATCCCCCAGCACCCCCAAACATCCCCCTCATCCCCCTGGCGTCTCCCTGCACCCATAAACATCCCCCTCATCCCAAATCACCCCAAGCATCCCCAGCATTCCCAAACATCCCAAGCACCCCCAGCTTCCCCAAGCATCCCCCAATATCCCCAAGCACCCCCAGCATCTCCAAGCATCCCTGGCATCCCCCAGCACCCCCAAACATCCCCCTCATCCCCAAGCATCTTCAAACATCCCAAGCATCTCCCGACATCCCCAAAAGAGATCCCCGGCGTCCCCAAAGCATTCTCAAAGTGTCCCCAAACCATTCCCAAAGTGTCCCCAGCACCCCTCCATCCTCGCTGGACCACTAGCCCCAAGGGCAACCAAACCCATGCCAAGAAAAACTCCAGCCAGCACCCAGATGTTCTCCCAAGAGCACATCCCAGATGAGGGGGTTGGTGTTGTGTGTCCCCCGTCCCCGTCCCCCTCCCACCGTGGTGTCCCCAAAGCGTCACCACTCACCTCTATCTTCATGATGGCAAAGTCAGGCACGGGGGGGTCGTAGAGGTAGACGCTGGGGTCAAGCTGGCTCTGGGTGGCCGGGAAGATCTTGGAGCTGCTGGGCGCCGGCGTGTAGTTGAGCATCTCGCACAAGGTGAGGACGTCGATGAATTTGGGGGTGAGCCCGGCCCTCACCGTGTTGTCCGAGCAGGCCATGCACTCCACGCAGTCTACGGGGACAGGGAAACCACACTCAGCCTTCCCAGGAGGTCCAACCCTGCGTGGTGGGTGGACCGTGGCCACCCCGGGGACGGTCCTCGAAGGGTGGGGTGGGTGAGGAAAGCCCACCGTGATGCTCACCTCCCTGCAGGTAGGCGTGGGGCTCGTTGGCTCCCAGGAACATGGCCTCCCCCGGTTCCAGCCTCACCAGGTTGAGGAAATAAATGGTGAAGCAGCCAATGTCCCCCGGGTACTGGGAGTGCAGGCGCAGCAGCAGGTCCCCGTTGCTCCCAGAGGTGTCCTTCCCTTCCGCCGCTGTGGGGTAGAGACCAGGAGAAGAGGGAGAGCTGGTGGGGTGGGCAGAAGACCCCATTCCTTCCCCTAAACACAGCCCCCACCCCTTTTAAAAAAACCCCATTCCGGAGGGACCCACCTTCCTGGGAGATGCGCTTCACCAGCATGTTGAGCTGGTCGACGAAGAACTTCTTCTCGCTCTTCATCAGGCGGGTGAAGCAGACACGGAGGGCGGCCGAGACCCCCCGGGGGTCGTCGCTCCCGCTGCGCTCCAGCTGCTCCGCCGCCACCTCCCCGATCAGCGCCCGCAGCTCCGGGACGGCTACCCGGGGTGGGCCACCACAAGCGTCACCTCTGGTGGCCATCATCATCACCACCACCACCACCATCCCCACCCAGGGTGGGGAGCCCAGCAACCCCATCCCTCCCACCCTGAACCCACCACGGGGCGGGGAGAAGGTGGCCTCAGGGTCTGCCTGGGCCACCACAAGCGTCACCTCTGGTGGCCATCATCCTCACCACCCCCACCACCATCACCACCCAGGGTGGGGAGCCCAGCAACCCCATCCCTCCCACCCTGAACCCACCACGGGGTGGGGAGAAGGTGGCCTCAGGGTCTGCCTGGGCCACCACAAGCATCACCCCTGGTGGCCACCATCACCACCACCACCACCACCCAGGGTGGGGAGCCCAGCACTTCATCCCTCCCACCCTGAACCCATCACGGGGTGGGGAGAAGGTGGCCTCGGGGTCTGCCCAGGCCACCACAAGCGTCACCCCTGGTGGCCACCACCACCACCACCCAGGGTGGGGAGCCCAGCACCTCATCCCTCCCACCCTGAACCCACCACGGGGTGGGGAGAAGGTGGCCTCGGGGTCTGCCCGGGCCACCACAAGCGTCACCCCTGGTGGCCACCATCACCACCACCACCACCACCCAGGGTGGGGAGCCCGGCACCCCATCCCTCCCACCCTGAACCCACCACGGGGTGGGGAGAAGGTGGCCTCGGGGTCTGCCCTCGCCACCACAAGCGTCACCCCTGGTGGCCACCATCACCACCACCACCACCACCCAGGGTGGGGAGCCCAGCAACCCCATCCCTCCCACCTTGAACCCACCACGAGGTGGGGAGAAGGTGGCCTCAGGGTCTGCCCTCGCCACCATCTATCTCCCCCCTGTCCCTCGCCATCCTTACTCTGGAGGAAGGAGACGATCTCCTCCACCGGCCGAAAGCCACACAAGCCCTCGAAGGGGGTGAGAGCGATGGCCATCTCGGGCTTGTGGTTGGCATCGGGGTAATGCTGGGGGAACTGGGCGTGCAGCTTCGCCGCCAGCTCCTGGAAAAGGGATGGGGTGGGAAGGGGAGGTGTCAGAGGGGCTGGGTGAGGTTC